GTAACTTACGAAATTGCCAACACACAAATGAATCATAATAAGGATTAACATCGGTTGTTATGAAAGTACGACGCCAATCGATCTGAAACTTTTCTATGATTCCATTATCTCTGTTATCACAGCCATTGCCGATTCAACTGCTATCGTCATCGGTCAAATCACTGTTACAAGTGGAATATCATTACATAAACCTCGAATTTAAAACTTTATCCTTAAAGTAACAATGGACTGTTGTTGTAAGACTAATGCAAGGACCAACCCTCGCACCCATTCTCTTCAGATCCGCGATGCAGTGTGGTGGGAAGTAACCGAGCCAGTGATGTGCATCAGCGAATTGCGCGATCTCGGCATCACTCAATCCCAACGATTGCATTATTTGCCATTGGTATTTCGCACCTCCCGATTTTGCTACCGCTTTACTCTGCAAATAATACTCAATGAATGACTTTTACAAATATGAGGAAATTTGAAAAATACGACGAAATTGTAAACCTTTTTTCCTTTGCTTTTATCTTTGATTACTTCATCGGCTGCACTCCTGTGTACCTCCTCCGGCTCTAAACCGTCTTCAGCTGGAAATACGGGTGGATATCCGAAATCTTCGAGTTCTCTCTTCAGCTTGTCAGCACACGCCTTGATCGGCATTCCGGTACAGTGCAATCCGAATGGGAATAAACACCTCTTCCCCAGCAAACGTTGATAACCAATTGCAAACTGAAATTCTTTCGTAGACATTCGTGCACTTTCTACTAAAATTTCTTTCAAAAAATTTTTACGTAGGAATTTGAGAATTTCGCAATTAATTTTTGTACAAAAAGTGACTTTCTTGAGTCGCAGGCTTTCATTGCAGTGGAATGGAAATTGCGGTATTGACTCCTCAAAGAGCAGATGGCAAGAAGAACTGCCTTTCAAAACATTAAGAATATTAGATGTAAAAATACGTCAAGATGAAAATATTTTATGGCTTACCTCACACTTTGAGATTGTGAATGTGTGCCCAAGATGGAGACGACCGTTCATATACGGATATGGGAAAGTAACAAGATATTTCGGCTCATTCCTTTAATTCAGAACAAAATTAATCTCATGCTTGAGATGATATCAATTACATGTGCAGGATAAACATCCATGAGATATTGCAAGAACTTACAGATCCTCTGGAGCGTCCACTTCGAAAACTTTAGCATTCTCCCAAAGTTTCTGGATTTCAGCCTCTTTGGCCAATAGTTCAGCAACCTTTCTACGTTCCTTGACCGCCATAACGACCGCTGAAAATACAGAAAACATAACATGAGATATTCAACGGTTTTGCGCAATTGACGGATTCAACTTTTAGAGTATTCCTGATAAATTAGGGTTCTGAATCCGGATACAATTGAGATCAACTAATATTGACTAAACCCTTTCAGAGGGAAATAAATGAGATAAAGTGATACTGACAATATTCATTCTCCGTAATATCTTAGAATATCAATAATATGTTTGAAAAATCCGTTAATTAAGCTTATTGCAATTCAACTGTGCTATATTGTCAGCGAGTTTGGATGATTTTTGGCCACTTAGAACACTAGTCGAAGCCTCATACAAACATCGGAGGCTTGACAGATGTGGAACTTGCCTTTCCGGACCGAACTGCCCGGAATCTAAAGTTTTGATCATTGCATTGATCAACTTGCGAAACTCGGCGGTTAGCCAACGTGATGCGTTCGCACAGTTCGTTCAGTAGAGCAAACTCTATTCAAGAGAAATGCAATGCTGTGTGCTATAAACTGAAGCATGAAGGAAGTTTATTTCGATGGATACAGCAAACTCTATTGGAGAGAGATGTAAATGCATTGCTGTGTGCATACAATCGCACAGTTCATTTTGATAGAGTGAACTCTATTGAAGAGATATTGCAATGCTCTGTGCTATAAACTGGAGCTTGAATGGAGATGCACACGAGTGCGGAACATTACTGAATTGCGGGCATTATTGCCAGTTGCCAGGGAAACATCCTATTTCCACGGGTTCGAGAATGTCTTATTATGGAAATTCGAAGATTTTACACGGGATTCAAAGATCTCACGTTAACATA